CCCCTCTCGCCGCCGTTTCTGAACCCGAACTCCATTAATTGGTGGGGAGATCGCTGGGGTTGGGGTTTTGGGGAGAAATTAAAGGACGATGAAAGGAGAGAAGTTTGAGGGAGTTTAATTAAATAGATGAGTTTCTTAACGAATAAGGAACTGTAGCAGGCAACAACGCCGCGGGACGGACGCGGGAGATTCACACTGTGGCGTATTCGATATTTCAGGCGATCTTCCTAGGTAGGTTGACTCAATGGCAGACTTTTCTGGGTCTTACTTTTGATATTTTCTATTTTTTTATTTATAATTTTTAAAAATCTGTTTTTTTACGGGTTTTTTTTTTTGGAAAATTGTGTTTAGTGCCCCAAAAGTAATAACTTCATTTGATGCATCATCTATAACTTTTTACAATGTGCTGCAGCTTTTAAATTAGAGATCTACGTGTTGCAGCTTTTTTTAGCAATTATTCATTGCTAACTAAACATAGAGAGAGAATAAAAAAATAAAAAATTACAAAGTGTCATTACCTCTTTCATTCTTATCTCTCTAAATCTAACGCCTCTTTTGGTACGCGAGAATGGACATAAGTGAGAATGGAATGGAAGAAGAAATGGAATGGATTGTATGTGTGAATGGAATGGTCATTCTCATTCTCATGTTTGGGTACTTTTGTAGAATGAGGCTAGAATGAAAATCTCGTTCTCATTCCCATGTTTGGTATCACTTGTCCACAAGTGAGAATGGAATCGCATTTTCTAATAATGTCCTTACAACAACATATATTTTTAATAAGATAAAAATAAACATTAATGATAATAACTAAACAATTTTATTTATGCATATGTTATACTAATTTCTGTGCATGTTATACTATTGCGCATGTTATCTCTCAAGTGTATGTTCTATTTATATTTTTTAAACAATACTCACTATTTCTTAGTCTTAAAAAATTAAAGAAAAATAAATAAAAGATTATCGCATCTTTCATAGGTCCAAAAAAAATATAAAGAATGATATCCACAGTTGATGCATATTGCATATGAAAAGGATGTCAGAATTACTAATGTGGAAATCAGTTGATTAATAGGGGTATAATTAAAAAATAAATAACTGATTTGATTCTCTCTTGAATGGGAATGACCATTCCCTATCTTCTCACTTGGAATGTCCATTCCCATAAAAAGTGAGAATGGTCATTCCCTGGGAATGGTCATTCCAACATCTAAAAAGTTGGTTTGTTTGGTATGAAGAATGGTCATTCCCTGGGAATGGTCATTCCAACATCTAAAAAGTTGGTTTGTTTGGTATGAAGGAATGAGAAGTGAGAATGCCCTGGGAATGGTCATTCCAACATCTAAAAAGTTGGTTTGTTTGGTATGAAGGAATGAGAAGTGAGAATGTCATTCCATTCTACCCCATTCCCGCCTACCAAACGAGGCCTAATAGTTATGGCCCCTCATTCCTCATCTTTTCTAACTCATCTCCTTCCTCCTCTCCCCCTCTTCTTCCTTTTTCTCTCAGATACCGACATCCCCCTCCGTCACCACCAAATTTAGGTGCACGCTCCGACCATATTGTTGATTTGAGAGTATGTATTACATAGAAAAAACTCACTCAATATTATTTATTTTTTCTCTCACTAATTTTCCCCGCTCTCTCTTTTTTTGCCCCCAAAAGCAAAATAAGCCTAATTTTGGCCGGCAATGACAATAGTAAAACCCTCGAATTCGTCGAAGTTCTCGTCGGAGGATCCGTCAAATAACATATCGATCTCCGACACTGTAGGCGAAAAACGAGGCAGAGGAGACGGTGTTGGAGGAGAATGACGAGGAGCTCGTATGTTAAGTCTAATGAAATTCGTAATTTCTGTTTTAACATAGTGGAAAGATAAAAATTTAAAGAAATGCTAGCTAAATATGATTTTTTTATGATTTTTATGTTAAGTTCAGACCCAAGGTGAAACATTAAGTCTAATAAATTGGAAGTGAAGTCCAAGGGCTTGTATAATAAGCCTATCGGGTTGAATAATAAGTCCAAGGGATTGTATGTTAAGTCTATTGGGTTGAATAATAAGTCTAATTTGTTAAATATTAAGTGTGATGAATTATATGTTAAGTCCGATTCGGCTCGTGTTAAGTCTAATTTGGTTCATATTAAGTCCAATTCGGTTCATGTTAAGTCCAATTAAAATTATGTTAGGTCTAATTCAACTTGTTTAAGTCTAATTTCATATTAAGCCTTATTTTATTCATGTTAAGTTCAATTTGGTTCATGTTAAGTCCAATTCGATTCATGTTAAGTCTAACTTAATTCATTTTTAAGTCTAATTTAACTTGTTTTAAGTCTAATTAAATTGGACTTAACATGAAATTAGACTTGAAACAAGTTGAAATAGACTTAACCTGATTTAATTTAGACTTAAAAGGAATTTAACATGATTTAAATTAGACATAACATGATTTAAATTAGACTTAAAATGAATTAAATTAGACTTAACATGAATCAAATTGGAATTAACATGGAATTAGACTTAAAAATAAGTTGAAATAGACTTAACATGATTCATGTTAAACCTAATTCAACTTATTTTTAGACTTAAAACAAGTTGAATTAGACATAACATGATTTAAATTAGACTTAAAAGGAATTAAATTAGAATTAACATGAATCAAATTGAACTTAACATGAATCAAATTAGACTTAACATTAATCAAATTAGACTTAACATTAATCAAATTGAACTTAATATGAAATTAGACTTAAACAAGTTGAATTAGACTTAATATGATTCATGGAGTCATGTTAGGTCATGAATAATGTTAAGTCTAATTCAACTTGTTTTTAGACTTAAAACAAGTTGAGTTAGAAATAACAGATCTAAATTAGACTTAAAAGGAATTAAATTAGACTTAACATGAATTAAATTGGACTTAACATGAAATTAGACTTAAAACAAGTTGAATTAGACCTAACATGAGCAGAATTGGACATAACATGAACCGAATTGGGCTTAACATGAGCAGAATTTGACTTAACATAAAACTCTCAGCTTCTTCGTTTGCCATTAAATATTTGTTTCATGTTTTCCCTCTCTTATTCTGGTGCAACAGTAAACACGATGCTGCTACTTTTTAGGACACTGAGTTGAAGAATATGCACCTTTATCTGCTGCTCATTATTAAAGTTAAAGCTCCCAAAGGACCTAATTGAGCTTAGAATACCTTCTGGCTTTAATAGCCATTTCCTTTCAGCAGAAAAGGCAGCAGGCGGCGACGACGACGAGAACATCATAAAACAACTGCTTGGTTAATCAAGACAAAAGTTGAAAACATGTGAATTGCATTCAATTGCATAGTCGTGCTACTATAGATAGTACGAGGACACCATAAAATCAAGAAAAATGCCCCAGGGACCCCAAATAGGGGACCCTGGGGTGGGACAGGTGAGGTGTCAGCCTGGGAGGCCAGGCTGACACCTCACCTGTCCCACCCCAGGGTCCCCTATTTGGGGTCCCTGTAGCATGACTCTAAAATCAAAGATTAAAATGTAAAGTTAATTTTAAAAATCCGACAGCACTGGCACGATCATGATATGCATGTTATAAAGTGTTACTTAGATCTAAGGACAATTTCTAAAATAGACCGATTTTTTGCTAAATAATTAGCAAAAATAACAACTTTGCTAAATAAGTAGCAAAATCAACCTCTTTTTGGGCAGTCAACTTTTGGCCACGTCATCATGACTGACCAAAAAAAGATCGATTTTTTGAAAAGTAATATTCAAAATACACAGAACTAATAATTCTGTATGGTTAGTAAATGCTAATTAAGAGATTAAACTACTATGTGTTTAAATACGCAGGACTAATAGCTCCGTGTAAACAATGAGACTCAAAATGACAAATTAACTCCGGTGCCCAATTCTAACCCGAACCTCCCACCTCACCGCCAAACCCCCCTCGTTCTCTCACCGCAGACCAAAACCGAACCCCAATTCTATCG